GAAGTCTCTTCCCTCTGTGCTGCTAGGGTTTATACTGCCCTGGCTCAGAGCCCAAGGGGGAGAAGGCAGGGCAGATGCTTAGGCAGGCTCAAAGAACCTTTTCAAGGAAAGGTAAACTGGGTTTCCAAGGTGAATGATGGTCTTAGGACTCCTGGCAAAGAAAGCTCTTAAGCTGAAAAGTGACCAATAAGCACCACAACTGGGCTAGACATTTAATTTAACCCTCACATCAATCTCATGAAGTAGGAATTATAATTCCCATTTTGCAGATGAATATATGCCTTACTGTTAAATTGTATACCTGAAACTTACTGGATTTCGTTAACCAATGTCACCATAATAAAATAAATAAACAAAAGCATTTCACAGATGAGAAAACTGAGGTTAAGTGACTGGCTTAAAATCACAGAGCTGTAAGTGGTAGAGTCAAGATTCAAACTCTCTACCATTGTAGAGAAAGCAAAGATACCTCTGTTGTAACTTTGGGGCCCTATACCTCTCTGGAGAGTATAGTGCAATGGTTGGGAACATGGACTCTGGAGCCAGACTTCCTGAAATTGATCCCTACCACTTGGCTAGCTGTGGGACCTTGGGCATGTTACTTAATCTCTCTGTGCCTCAGTTTACTCATTTGTCAATTGGGAATAAAAATAGGGCCCACTTCATAAGGGTTAAACGATCTAACATATGTAAAGTGTTTAGAATATTCTAGGGCACATGCTGAATGCTATATGTGTCTCATGTTATTTCTGTTTGTATCTTCTCTTCCTCCATACCTCTCTTTTAATTAGCATTTCCATCTCTCTGTCTTCCTCAATATTCCCTGTCCCAGTTTCCACTCCTAGTTCTTTCTGTCTCCAGTTATCTCTCTCTCCAGTTATATCTCTCCCTAACCATTCTTGTACCCTCTACTTCAAATCCACAGATGTCGATGGAAGTCCCACAGTGGACCAGGGATGATGCCAGAGAGTTCCTCTCCTTGTCCTCAGCTTACTTTTCTTCTCCATCTCCTTTTCTCTCTGTTTCAAAGAAGCCCTCCCTACATACTCCCCTCCCTCAAATGTAGCTTGACTCCTGAGATTTTTAACCTGAGCCCAAGAGAGAAGGAGGAGAAAGAGGGAGAAAGGAAATAGGAATCCTAGGGCTAGGCAGGTAATTCCTCTCCTGATGCTCTGACAAGGGAAAGGTTGGCTTTCCCAGGAGCCCCAGAACCACCCACCTCTCTAAGGAGCTAGGTGCTGGGGAAGGAGAGCTACCCCAGCCTGGGTACCTCCTCTACCAGCCAGAACCATGATGGACTGAGGTGAAAAAGGGTGGAGAAGGACCAAAAGAGAGTGAAACACATAGAGACCACAGGGCAGGCAGGCTAAGAGGTAGGGGATAGGTATTTCTGCATCTCTTTCCTTCTAAGGTCAATATCTCTCAGTCTGTGTACCTCTACTGTCTTTTTTCTTTCTACTGTCTTCTTCCTTCCTTCCTCCCTCCGTCCCTCCCTCCCTTTCTTTCCTTCTTTCCCTCTTTCTTTCTTTCTTCCTTTTCTACTTCTCATCTCTTTTGGCCTTTAAGCTCCTAAGGGTAAATTGTCATGGCGGTTATAGGAACTCAGACCCCCAACACCACCACCCTTCGCTCAGTCTCAATGCATGAAGCAGCCCTTGCCCTTTACTAGGCAACACCCATATCCCTAGCAGCCTCAGATTCTTCAGCCCAGTGTCTCCCCAGGCCCTAAAAAGTCTGAGCTTCAAGCCCTCAGGGTCCCACTCCTCTTCTTTCCCCTATTCCCTGAAGTCCTCATCCCTGATTAAGCCCAGGTAGAGCCAGGAGTCCGGGGCCCCTGAGGCCCCTGGGCCATAGCTCAACAGGCTGGGCTACATTCCAGGTAGATTAACCTTTCCAATGCCAAGGGTGAGACACTACTAGAGCCCCCCCCACCCCATCTTCCCCAACCTGACTTGGACTAGGGACCCACTCTGTGCTCCAGGCCTCATTGTCCGCTCCTCACCTACAGATGGTAAACAGAGGCTTAAGGATAGGGCAGAAGGATTTGGGAGGAGGGGGTCTTAGAGAGGGATATCTCTGACTCCTGGTCCTTACCAAGGAATGAAGCTATAAGGAGTGAAGGACAGCCCAGCTCTCCCTGGCCTTCCTTCTATCTTGTCTCAGAGAAGGAACTTGAGAGTTGAGGGAAGACAAGGAGAAAGAGATTCATCCTATTTCTGAGCCTTGGTTTCTCTGCTTGGCTGGGAAGGGAAGGGGAGGGTCTTAAGTCAGGGCGGAGAAAGGGTCCAAGGAATGGAAGACTGTGGTACAGAGAGTAAAAGGATATCCTAAACTAGGGACCCGGATGCCTTGGGTCTTTTGGAGACCTATGGAAGAGAAGAACACTTCTCTCCTCCCAAGATGCCACCTCAGACTGAGCGGGGACTGACTAGGGGAAAGGGGCCCATACAAAGCTGCTTCTCTTAGAGCTGAGGTGGAGTTGAAGGGAGGGCATGGATGAAGGGGGCTTCCGGATGGAGGTGGGGGCGTCTCCCTGCTGCCCTACCGGCTCCAGAGTCTGGAACAAAGCTGCTCTTGTCGGCTGCTCTCCACCCGCTGCCCCCCTCCCCTCTGTATAAACACGACCACCTTTTTCCATGACCCCATCCCCAGCCTGGGCGGAGAACCCAGGCATCCTCTGCTCTAGCCTGGGCCCCCAGCCTGCTCTCCAGGAGGCAGCAGTGGGCCTCGTTTTTCTGGCTTTGTGCCACCCTTGGAGGAGTCCAGACCCTTGAGTCTCCACCTCTCATCCCCAGGTGCCCTCCCTCTACCCCACTGGCCCCAGGGAGGGGCAGTGCCCAGGAGGCAGGCAGGCAGGCAATGCCAGTGGAATGTGTGTGGGCATCAGAGGGCATGGGCAGGGTGGGGCAGAGGGGGGAACTGGAGGTGCCAGTTAGGTGGCTTTCTGAGCCAGGGGTGGGGGTGTGCCGGGTGGGGGTGTGTGCACTGTGCTGCCTACCAGGCTCTAAGCCACAGCCTCCGTTGTGTGTGTGTGTGTGTGTGTCTGTCTGTCTGTCTGTCTGTCTATTTGGGATTCCCAAGCTCCAGGCACACTATCTCCTGCCCCCTCCCCTATCCTCTTTCTTCTTGCCTTAAGGATGTGAGACATTGCCTGTGGTCCTCAACCCCAACTCAGTATCTGAGGAGTAACTAAAGGCAGGAGCCTCAGACTTGAAGACTGGGATTGCAACTGCCTGGATGTGGTCCCCAAAAGGGCACAGTCATCTCTCCTTCTTGCTCTTTAGACCCCTCCTCAGGCTCCCTTGTCCCCCCACCCCCAACAATGCACATTCTTACCCTCTGGCCACCTGCAGAGATTCCCTCCTACATACTGGGTCAGGTTGAGGGGACTGGACTGTAACTGCTAAAGACAGAAAGACAGCGTCAATGGGGCTCCAGACCAGGACTCCTGGGTCCCCGCCCCAGTCTTCCTGTTCTTCCTTTGTTCTGTTTAGGCTCCCCTCAAGAATACATCCAAGGATCCCCCCCACCCCAACCTTAGCTGGAGGGAGCCAAAACTCACACTCACATCTAGAGATGGGGAATCCTAAACTGTGGTTCAAGGAAACTTCGAAGATCCCTATCCCATCCACTTGTCTCTCCAAACCCTTGGACCCAGAAGGCCAGGATCACTCTGGTAGGGACCCCTTTCCTTGCCCTGCTGATGTCCAAGCGGTTCCATTCCACTAGGGAAGGAGCAACTTGGACTAGCTTGGACCAAAAATCCACCCCTCAGGCTCCCAGGGGAATCCTGAGGGAGGGCAGGCAGTGGTCTTTCCCCACAGGAGGGAACCCTATCTTCCCTCACACTCTCTGTATAAACTTAGGCTAAAAGCCCTCTGGCTGAAGATTCTTCCTCAAATGCTCTCCCTCACTCCTCACCCAAATGGAGCAACGATAAAGCCCAGCCAAGCCCCCGCTTGTCTCAGATCTTCCCCATTCCCTTCCCACATCAGGACTGACCCCCAAGTCGGGGCAGGAAGCTACCCTCAAACCCTTCTGACAGCCTGACCAACCCTGGGAGAAAAAGAGCTGGCGTCCTCCTCGGCGCCCCCGCCCGCTGCCCACCTCACTGGAGGACCCAGGCGTCCGGGCGGGCGAGCCTGCTCCCCCTCCTGACTCACCTGGAGGGGAAAGGAGGAGAAAGGGAGGCCGTGGAGCCCCGAGGTCCCGGCGTAGGGCGATCGCGGGGTTGGAGCGTCGCAGTGTCAGAGGCTCGGAGTAATGGGGGGCTTTGGGGGGGCTCGGGCTCTAGGCTGGGACTGTCCCGGGGCCTCTCGGAGCCTGCCCGCCCACGTGACCGCCCCAAAATATCCGACACATTTTCTCCCAAACCGCACACTGACTCTGCAGGCGGGGACACGGAAAATATTTTCTTTCTTTTTCTCCCTCCCCACCCCCCCACCTCCCTCCCAGCCCGGCTCCCTCCTCCCCCTCCCGCCCTCGCTCCTCCCTCCCCTGCCTCCTGCCCCTGCCCGGCTCCCTCCTCGGTGCCCTGGGGCTGGGGGGCGGGGGGTGGTGGGAGGGGGGCTGGGCGGGGCGGCTCGGGACGCCTGGGTCTCTCTGCCCCTCCCATTTGCTGGGCTTCCGTGGCTCCATCCCGGGGAGGCCGGGCAAGGCTGGCAGAAGAGGTCAGTGTCCTGGGCCCATGATGCCACCCTTTCTCTCTGGCACTGTCCCCCTTCCTGCCATCTGAGGGTACTGTTTGAGTTCTCTGGTCAGGCTGTGGTTGAGTGAGGCCAGTCTCTGGTACCTCCCCAGAGTAGGCAATGGGAGCTGTATCCCCTTGCTCCAAGGGGTGGAGTGATAGGGCAGGGGTATGCCAGAGCAGATGCCACAGTCTTTGCCCTTTGCTTAGCTTTCGTCTGCAGAGCAAAGTAGTCTCTGCTTCCCCTTGCCTACCCTAGATGGTCCTTTGGTCCCAGGAGCAAACTGGTTTAACTAGTGGGGATTGTGAGGGGTGCTGAGGCCTGGGCTCAAAGACCTCCTCCCTTTCACCCTGCCTTGAATAAGCTCCAGGAGTTAGGGCAGCTGGCTCCCCGGCTGCCAAAGTTATCCCCATCTTTAGGCTTGGATCTGGAGGGGGAGAGACTGGGGAGGAGGGCAAGAGGAACTGTGCTGGGAGTGGGAGGAGCCTTGGGCTGGGTGTGAGGGAGAAAGCCCTAGCCCAGGGTGTGTGTCTGCCTTAACCAGCGCTTGCCTGCCTGGTAGATGCGCCACGAATGTGGTTGACTCTGGGTGTGTGTGCGCGCACGCGCGCGTGCGCATGCTCACCCAGAATCAGTTAGTGTCTGAGAGAGACATTCTCTGACTTTATCATGACCACCACAGACTGTCAGCCCTAGAATGGGAACCCAGGGTGTCAGTCTCTATTCTACTGAGGACAGAGCGAGAGAAAAGAAGGGGTCTGAAGTCCAAGTTCTGTGCATGGACCTTAAGCAGTCCCACAGGGATTAGGAGTGGGAGTGAGAAAGTGGAGAAGGGCAGCAGTAGCAGAGGCTGGGCTAGGCTGGAAAGAGGCACCCAAAGGACCTTCTCGGCAATCCCCAGGGGTGGCCAGCAATGGAGACATGGACTTCTGATCACATCACATTTTCCATACTGGAATTACTCTGCTCTGTCCTCGCTGCCACCCTGAGGACCAAGTGTCCTCCCTTCTGAAAAAGGCCACTTTTGGTAGCCAGAGTCAGATGAAGGAGAGGGGGAAAGAAGGGGCATACTATGGCTATCTCTGGAGAACAGAAGACGTCAGTGGGGGGCAGACAAGGCCCTCCCTTTCACTCCAGGGGTGGGAAGAGCTGGGAATAGGTACTCCAGGGTCCCGTCCCCAGGTGGCCTGGCTGCTGTTGACTTTGCTTGGTTACCCTGGGAGCAGCTCTCAGCAGTGTGGGAGGGGCAGGTGTTAGGGAGTTGGACCCAGGCTTCCAGGCTGGGGTGGGATGGCACCCTGCCTGTGTGGCAGGGATCTTGCCAGGAGGCTGCAGAGTTAACCCCTCCTGCCCTGGGGGTGGCAGCTGGAGGATGGGCCCAGCTGCGGTTTGTGAATGTGGCCCTGATTCCCCGCTTCCCCACGCCCCACCCTGCACATCTGTACTTGGTTTACAGTGAATGAGTCTCCTGTCCTCATGAACCAGGCGAGGATGCCACTCCCTCCCAGGCCCCTAGCTGGGCATCTTAACACAAAACCAGGAACCACCACCTCCCAACTCCTGTGACACGCTCTCTGCTTGGTCTCTCCCTGCTAGGTTTCTCTTCTTTCAATTCTTCCCTTTCTCCTTCTTAGAGAGGTTCAAGGGCTGGTCTCCAGGCCAAGAGCTCTGAGACTATGCAATTAGGGTAGCAAATGGGGACAGGGAAGCTAAAATGGGGGACAAAACACTTAGAATCACCTAGAAAGAGAGAGCAGGTCTGGAATTCCATTTCTTTGCCCTCCTCTTTGTCCTGGTTAGTCTGTCTGCCCCTGTCCTTGTCGCTAGTAAATGTTCGTCTATCCATCCACCTTGGTAACTGTGGCTCTGCCCTTCTGGAAACCTCCTCGGTCCCCAGCCAGGGACAGCAGCCAGGAGGCGATGCCCAGGAAGAACCGCCCTTCAGGATTGCCAGGCCTCCTCAGGACCCAGTGACTGGGGTCTGTCTAGTGGCTGTAGCAGTTTGGAAGTCAAAACAAAGTGCTGAGACAGGACTAAGAAACAAGGAAGAGAGGCATTTGGAAGGTTTCAGATTCTTCTCTCCATCTTGCAATGAAGCCAGTCTTCTATCCAGGGATTTCAGGAGGAGGCTTCTGAAGAGGGCCTCCCACTCTGGAAACTGGTGAAGAGAGTTCCCCTCATTTCTCTTTCTTTTGGGTCATCTTTATTTCTAGGCTTTGCTCTGTTTGTGGTGGCTCTACTTGGTCACCCTGGCAACTTCGAGAAATAGTATCTTGGGGGCCCTAGGAATAGGCTTCCTTTGCTCCCCTCATCACAAAGACTAGAATGAGAGATCATGAGAGAGAAAGGATCCATATACCTGTCCCACCTGCCTTGACTTTGCTATATTGCCCCATCCCAAATTTTCACTCTCACCCTCTCCCCATCAGCATCAGGACACTGAATGGATAGTTTTCCCCTGCCCAGTCTGGTACTGGGGAGGATGTCTTATGCCATACTCAGAGGTGGCTGGCAGATGTCTGCGGGAGGTTGAGGGAGCTCCGTTTCAACCCCTAAGGACATCATTAAGGCACGGAAGTGCCATCGGGGCTTGGAGACCAGGGCACCCAGGAGGATGTGATGAAAACATGTTTTGTACAACACGTGTCTTCTCCTTTTCCTTCCTCCCTTCCTCTCTCATCTCCTCCCCTGCTCTGTGCCAAGGCTGGTGCCTGCCCTGTCCTAGGTCCTTGCTCAATTCCACCCTTTGTACCAGGCCTATTCTGTGCTTGCCAGTTTGTTGGCTCTCCTGGTGAATAAGTGTGTGTGTGGAAGGTCCTTACCAGTCTCAGTGCTGCCCACATCCCCACGTAGAATAAGGTCCTGATTTTGAAACACAGGATTTCAGAACTAACCCAAACAACTCTAGGAATTTCTTCTCTAAACATGTACTTTTCATGAATTCAACAAATCTTTATTAAGCATCCACTGTATGCCAAGCACTGTGCTAGGCCCGGGAAATACCCAGATATGGTTCCTGCCCTTGCAGGCCTGTAGGCCGGGGAAGCAGTCAGATGTTAACCAAATAATTTACAAAATTGCAAGTGATAACCAGTGTGGAGAGGCATAAGGTACTATGAGAATGGATAGTAGCCAATTTTACCCCAGCCAAGGAGATCAAGAAAGGCTTCTAGGAAAGAGGGAGTG